ATTTTTTTACAATCGGTGGGTGGGCATCATTGCTTAAGTATCCTGTACGCTATATCATTGGCACTGCATAAAATGAATAGATGTATTTGATAGTGATAAAGCATTTTGTATTTCCATTGTCCACGGCACCTCGAGCTTGCGAACTGTGACTGGCGGAAAAAATAGTCGCAGTGCTTGAGGCCCATTGCTTCGTTTCTGAATGGAGAACAGCACCGATCTTGCTGGTGGAGTTGTAAGGAGCCTGATGAAGAGTATTTAGACATACTCTTTGGTTCTTTCGGTAAAGTCACGTAGGTATAAAATCAAATAAATCACGACGTTTCGATCGCAACACAAGCGGTCGTCCTCTGGGCGGAAAGAATATAATCCAGCAGTTGAACTGCTGAACCAGCGAGATCTCATGTCCTTTGGATTGCACTCTCATGCTCACGTGTCCTTTGGATTGCACTCTCATGCTCACGTGTCCTTTGGATTGCACTCTCATGCTCACATGTCCTTTAGATTGCACCTCTCATGCTCACATGTCCTTTGGATTGCACTCTCACAGTGCCAATCTCATTAACACTGCTGTTGTGCGCATATGCGGGCACGACACTCTTATGTGGCGACGGAAGCTCATTCATGCTAATCTCCCTTCCCTAATCCCTCTCTCCCTAATCTCCCCCATTAACACAACTGACGTGCTTGCATCCGGGGGTGGAATTCCTTTCCAGCTCAGACCCCACTTGCTTGCCCATCGCCACATAAATAACCTCTTGTAGCTGCTCTCTCGCTAGTTCAGCAGTTCCACTGCTGGATTATATTGTTTCTGCCTGCGATTGAAACGTGATTTATTTTTTACCTACGTGACTTTACCGAAAGAACCAAAGAGTATGGATTCCTGCAGTCACGAAAGCTTCAAATCAAGATTGAGTCTTTAGACCTCACTTTTAGAAGCATCATCTTTGAGATATTTGTCCAATTATCTAGTACTTTTTATAGGAGGAAACCAGAATCCCCTGAGAAACACTACTACAGATACAAGTGCAACTATTTTTAACCCTGCTAATGTAGGGGGACCACATGACAGATGAAGCGAATGCAAAATAATCTGTTTACATGATAAGAATCGCATGACTTGTGCTAAACGGATAACATTAATGATTCCTGTTCTCCATGAGCAAGGCCCCCCCCCCCCCCAAGGGTTTTTGGAGGCCCAAGGCAGAATGCCACATTCTACCATGCACAGAAATATGCAGGCCTGTTGTGGGGCCCTCTTTTGCGTGAGAATCGGGGCAAATTGCCCCTTTGTTGACATTGCACGCTGCAAATATGTGCGCACGTTTTTTTACACTTTAGGGAGTTGGTCTTTGTTTAAAAAAAATAATCCCGAACCCTCAACTCCTCTTTGCAACAAAATATGTGAATAGGGTTAATTTGCCACTTGACTCCTCATACATTTTGTTGACAGTCCTATGCCTGATCACTGCTCATCTCGGATGCTGATGTATTTTCATTGAACGAGCTAAGCCTTGCAAGCAGGCTTAATTTGCATAAGAGCAGTCTGTCAAAATTGCAGTGTGTGTGCGTTCGCTCCATCGCGCACGCGACACATGCCTTGGCTGGAGTGCACACATTTGTGTTTTCTCAGGAAGTCACCGTGAGAAATCTAAACGCTTATCTCCATAAAATAATGGGATTTATTTATTTGCACCAACCTCTGATATTTGTAATTTCTGATTAAGATGCCTGTGTAATCTGGACATCGCATACACTGCACGAGATTGTAGGGACTCATTTATTCACGAAGCGATCCTAACCCCAACCTTAACTCCTCTTATTTGTGAAAAATAATAAAAATGAAGTATTTTGCCGTGCAACTTTCACGATGTTAATGAGGGAAATTATAGACGTTCCCCTTGCTGCCTGTCTCTGCATCATTATTATGACATGGTGCAGCCCCAGTGAGGGGCTGCCCTGACCTAAATGACTGAGCAGTCTTCTTATTTGCCGACACCACAGATAATAGGAAGTTTTAACACCCAATGACCCTTTGAAGGAGCTTCACTGGCTACCAATGCATAAGAGCATCAAGTTCAAAGTAGCAGCACTCGCTTTTACAGCAAAGACATCCGGTCAACCAACCTACCTAAGCGATGTCATCTGCCCATTCGTACCATGAAACCGACGCTCATCTTGTATGGACCTGCTGTGTGTGGCAACTGCTCGGCTTCGGGCAGCAGAGTATTGTCATCTGCAACCCTGGTGGTCTGGAACAGTCTGCCAAATGAAGTCTGGTTATCCTTGACAATCGGTGTTTTTAAGAATGGACAAAACTTGTATAGTCTCTTCCGTTTAATTTTGTTTCTTTTTTTTCCTGTGCCATCCACGCTTTTATCTCACCTTTTTGCTCAATATGGTGTGCTTTACAAATCTTGGATTGATACTTTCCAGTGCATTCCAATGTAGGACCCTCTTAAAATAGTCCTGATACTTGGTGATGCCTTCCTAGGTAAATAATTGGCATTCTAATTACTATACTCTTTGGTTCTATTCGGTAAAGTCACGTAAAAAACAACAAAAAATTCACGACGTTTCGGCCACAACACAAGTGGCCTTCATCAGGTGAAGGGACCAGACTGTCTAGAGGACAGCGCTGGAGTGAACACAGCCAAGCTCAGACCGCGACCTTTAAGCTGTGTGAGAGGAAGCAGAGCGCCTTGACAAAGGAATTAGCATAAAAATTAGCATTTAATTGGCGGACTTAGCATGATGAACGATGTACAGGGGGGGAGGGGGAGTTTACCTATTGGTGTGAAAAGGGAATTTAAGCAGCTGCGAAAGTTTGGGATACCACTACTTGAAAAAAATATACTGTACCATTGAAAATTAGTTTAATGTTTGATTCAGAACATCTTTCCAATGGTTGCTTAATTTGAAACCATCCTCTCGGTTGAAATTGTGTCTGTGTTTGTAAATCTGAATTGCCTCGTGAACAAATCTCTGATAAAAACCCGTGGGTTTGCAAATAACCTTGGTATCGGAGAAAATTATATCGTGATCACCCACAGTCACGAAAGCTTTAAATCTAGAATTCTAATTACTATTTTACGTATGAGATCCTGCTTGAAATGGGTGCTTTCCCATGGCATTGCTGTTGCCCGCATATAGGACGCCCTACTTGCCTGGGTTTGAGTTTCCACTTTGCTGAACGGAATTAATTCTAAAATATTTAAAGATGTAACCCATGATTAAGAATTGTTCGCATGTTTGCAAGAGGTTTTCATAGGTCACACTTTGCAATCGCTGCCCGTAATGCTCCTATAGTACAGATAATGATACAGAGGGTGTGGCTGGTGACCACGTCACACACTTGCGATACTCTGTAAACTGAATTATGTAACAATGTGGAGTGATCAACCCCAATTTTATAGGTATAAACAACCATCTCGGTTTGCCAAAACACATAAAAGACATCCACGATTTTTCACCTCTAATTAGCACGGTTGGCTATGTTTGTTGCGAAATAAGCTCAACATAGAGTGAGGGAAAAAAGTATTTGATCCCCTGCTGATTTTGTACGTTTGCCCACTGACAAAGAAATGATCAGTCTATAATTTTAATGGTAGGTTTATTTGAACAGTGAGAGACAGAATAACAGCAACAAAATCCAGAAAAACGCATGTTAAAAATGTTATAAATTGATTTGCATTTTAATGAGGGAAATAAGTATTTGACCCCCTCTCAATCAGAAAGATTTCTGGCTCCCAGGTGTCTTTTATACAGGTAACAAGCTGAGATTAGGAGCACTCCCTTTAAGAGTTGTGTTACAGTCGTAACGTCGTGAGAATTTTATTGTTATATATATATTTTATTATTTTAATGTTTCCCTTCAACGTGACTTTACCGAAAGAACCAAGAATATGAATCACTGCAGTCACGAAAGCTTTAAATCAAAATTTAATGTGACAACAGTTGGTGCGATTATTCGCAAATGGAAGAAACACAAAAGAACTGTCAATCTCCCTCGGCCTGGGGCTCCATGCAAGATCTCACCTCGTGGAGTTGCAATGATCATGAGAACGGTGAGGAATCAGCCCAGAACTACACGGGAGGATCTTGTCAATGATCTCAAGGCAGCTGGGACCATAGTCACCAAGAAAACAATTGGTAACACACTACGCCGTGAAGGACTGAAATCCTGCAGCGCCCGCAAGGTCCCCCTGCTCAAGAAAGCACATATACATGCCCGTCTGAAGTTTGCCAATGAACATCTGAATGATTCAGAGGACAACTGGGTGAAAGTGTTGTGGTCAGATGAGACCAAAATGGAGCTCTTTGGCATCAACTCAACTCGCCGTGTTTTGAGGAGGAATGCTGCCTATGACCCCAAGAACACCATCCCCACCGTCAAACATGGAGGTGGAAACATTATGCTTTGGGGGTGTTTTTCTCCTAAGGGGACAGGACAACTTCACCGCATCAAAGGGACGATGGACGGGGCCATGTACCGTCAAATCTTGGGTGAGAACCTCCTTCCCTCAGCCAAGGCATTGAAAATGGGTTGTGGATGGGTATTCCAGCATGACAATGCCCCAAAACACACGGCCAAGGCAACAAAGGAGCGGCTCAAAAAGAAGCACATTAAGGTCCTGGAGTGGCCTAGCCAGTCTCCAGACCTTAATCCCATAGAAAATCGGTGGAGGGAGCTGAAAGTTAGAGTTGTCAAACGTCAGCCTCGAAACCTTAATGACTCGGAGAAGATCTGCAAAGAGGAGTCGGACAAAATCCCTCCTGAGATGTGTGCAAACCTGGTGGCCAACTACAAGAAACGTCTGACCTCTGTGATTTCCAACAAGGGTTTTACCACCAAGTACTAAGTCATGTTTTGCAGAGGGGTCAAATACTTATTTCCCTCATTAAAACGCAAATCAATTTATAACATTTTTGACATGGGTTTTTCTGGATTTTTTTTGTTATTCTGTCTCTCACTGTTAAAATAAACCTACCATTACAATTATAGACTGATCATTTCTTTGTCAGTGGGCAAACGTACAAAATCAGCAGGGGATCAAATACTTTTTTCTCTCACTGTACATCTTTTATGTGATTACCACCAATAAACATTCACAGACCTTTTTTGTTATTTACACCACTGTAAAGGCCAGGCAGGGGGAGTTCGGTGGCACTAATAATTATTTCACTGACTTATCTTCCATTACAATACGGCAATTCACCCCTACCATTGTCAAAGGTGCAGGCATCGCACACTCAGGCGCGGGCGCCCCAAATTGAATGCAAACTGCATGCGTGCAGACGCTTCCAGAGAATGTGTATGAACAGCTCTTTTTGCTTTGTGTCGGCTGAAATCGTCGTTTCATCAGTTTTCTTAGGTGAGTGAAAGCGATGAGTGCATGTGTCCCGTGGCTTTGCTGCCTATAAATCCCACAATAACCACAACTCGCCCGGATCATTCCAGACACCGTCCACCTCCACCATCTCAGCCATGTCGATGACAACGGGAAAGGTGCGTCCCATTAAGTTTTATTATTATCTACGTGTATGAGTGTGGTATAATATTAACTGATAACAACTTCTGTAACGCCGTAACATGGAAAAACCCCAGGGCAAGGGTGTTATTAATGCAGCTTGTGAACAACACGATTGTAAAGCGAAACATTTGGCCAGGTTTCAATGTTTTTTTGTTAAAGCATTTCAACCACATTTCAATCGCTTTTCTTTGCAGATTCGAGAGAAGTTCATCGTTAATCGAATGATCAGTACGTTTGATATTCACAGCGTTCTTATAGCGCAAGGGTATCATGAAGTCGCTGTTTTTATGGCCATATTCTGCAGTTGATTTTTTAACATTTCAAATTAAACACTTGGTTTTGTATATTTTCCAGTTTTCTTGCAAATATCTGTGTAAATTAAACAAACGTTTATAGTTGTGTCAAAATTACAGATGCTTTTTAAAACAGGTTAAATTAAATATCTTGAAGGTGAAGCATGGAATCGCCATACAGGTAAACATTAACACAATATTCACATTATATTGTTGCTGTAAAGGGATTGAGTGAGAGTTCATAAAATATAACTACAGTATGCAAAGATACCATTGTTTATTCAGATATCTTCAGAAGATATACACATGTTTAACATAGCATTTGTTATACAATATTACACATTTTAATGTTGCTACCAAGTCACGAATTAAAGTGCTTGATTTTCTGGCATATAAATAAATTGTGTTTTGTAACGATTCGACAAGAAGACATCGGTGTGAAACGTTATTTCCAAAGTCTTACTCTAGTATACATTGGGTGAATTTAATTCTAAAGTAGGTGAAATACGCAGACGCAAGAAGACGATCAGATCCTTCGGAATCGGAGTGTGGTATGACAATAGTAAGCGTCTACGTGAGTTTACAGCGAGAAAAGTCGTCAGCATAACGATTACAATTTTTTTCTTTCTCTTCAAAATAATTATCCAGAAAATGGACCTGGTGATGATGCCCCAATTGTGAAACTCGCAGCGAGCGATTTTGTTGATTCTAACGGGCAATCGCAAGATTCATATTCTTGGTTCTTTCGGTAAAGTCACGTTGTTTCCCTTCAAAGTCACGTTGTTTCCCTTCAACGTGACGTTACCGAAAGAACCAAGAATATGAATCACTGCAGTCACGAAAGCTTTAAATCAAAATTTAATCGCAAGATTGTCAGAGACGTCTCTTATCAGTTTAACACGTACGCTTTCGGCGACCAATATCATCCATAATACAGTTTTTTTGTGGTTAGATCGCGTAAATATATAAATATGTAAGGAATCTGCGAGCCACTCTCATTCACACGCACCACGCAGACATGAAATCTCCGCAGTCAATATAACACGCACGGGAATACACTAGACGGGGGTCAAGGGTTAAAGGCCACTGACGTCACCCGGACCAGGCGTGCGGGACGAGGATATGTATTGGGAACGAGGGCAGAGATGGAGAGGTTAAAAGGGGCTGTGAGACACGTGTTCGGGGTTGGTTTTGGAACGAGTGTGGCTGTGGGTTGAAGAATAAAGAAGTGCTTAACCAGTCTCCGACTCCTCTTCAAATGTGTTGTTAAAGCCTTGCCACCACCCGACACAGCCAACTAGTAAGCTGACAGAGCCAACTAGTAAGTTGGTAAGTTGGCTGTGTCAACGTAAACAGAACACGCCAATTCGTCACTCGTACAGCACACTGGTGTGTTGGAGAGCCAAGCCACAACATTTACAATCTGAGTACGACGTTTCGCCAGTAATTACAACTAGCTTCATCAGGCGACAGCCAGATTTGTGGAGAAGTCTGTTTCGTTCCTTATATAGAGGTGTAAATAATATATTATTTGATTATTCACTTCCACGCAGCACTAAGGCGGTAGCTATCCGAACGGTTAAAGTTATTTTTTATTTATATCAATTTTTATAGATTATCCAAATACAACTGTCAACAGCAGCATAACACGCGTGCCAACAAGGACACTCAATTGATTTTGATAATGTTGAAGTTCTGTGCAAAACTAGCCACTACTGGCCAAGACTAATTTGATAATCTATCGAAATTGAAAGAAATAAAAATAACTTTAACCGTTCGGATAGCTGCCACCTTAGTGCTGCGTGGAAGAGAATAATCAAATAATACATTATTTAAATGAATGTCTCTAAAGGGCAGCATACTTCAATAGAGATTACCGTTGGTAGGGCTATTTTCATACACACAATAGACAGGAAGGACAAGATCCATGGCTCGCATAATGCACATGCATAATGTACGTTGACTCCGCAATCTCCCCCCTCCCCACTTTGTGCAAAAGCGCAGAAGCGTGGTCACCACATCTATGCCTCTATATAAGGAACGAATCAGTAAGACTTCTCCACAAATTTGGCTGTTGCCCGATGAAGCGAGTTGTAATTACTGGCAAAACGTCGTATTCAGATTGTAAATGTTGTGGCTTGGCTCTCCAACACACCGGTGTGCTGTACTAGTGACGAATTGGCATATTCTGTTTACGTGACAACCCTTCCTAGTTGGCTGTGTCGGATGGTGGCGGGTTTTAACGACACATTTATATATTTACGCGATCTAACTCAAAACACCTCTTATGGACGTCTCTTATCAACAAATTCAACGCACAGGCTCATGTGATGCAAGGCGTAATTCAACATTAGCCAAAGCAGGAAACGCCCATTAATATCAAATCCAAGATAGTAAATATAAAAAATATATGGTGAAGAGGTAGCAGATTTCCACGAATCTGGTGACCAAGGGGAAGACCGAACACCAGATGGTGGGATATTGTTAGGACATATTTTGGAGGTCGCGTGTCACCTGTGCAGCGCCTGAGGGAACCAACTGGTGGAGGGTAGAAAGTGTTGGTGAGGTGACTTAAACAGTTGTGGCCGTGATGATTTCTTGATCTTGTAATGGTGAGTGGAATTGAAAGTGCGTGTGTGCGCGAGGGGGAGGGGAGATTAACAAGCAAATAAGAGAACGATCTAAACCGACAAAAGTCCTGTTGAGGAAGAGGAGACATACAATAGAGAGACGGAGATGCAACACTCAAGACTGAAAACACAGCACTGCAAGACGATTCGGAAGAGAATGGGAATAGATATCAGAGAACAACACAAACATGAGTGAAGATGTCATAGCAAGCAATGGGAGCACGAAATCAGAAAAAAGGCTGATGATTTGCCATTCGCATATAATACTCCATGGGCAGAAGTAAATCATCAAAACACATGAGAGAGAGAGAACTATCTTAATTTGGTAGACTAATTCTATGCAGATCTCGTAAAAAAACATTCATCCCATCAGATAAAGATGTTGGAGTTCCAAATATCACACTTTGATATTATTACGCTTGATTACACAGGAAAGCCTGAGTCTCAATGCTCTCTTTAAGGAAGGTCCTATCAATTACCTCAATAGGGGGCTGACGACTGTTATGGTTTTCAATTAAGCAGTTTGCAGAATATTTTTTTCAAACACTATTCGCTCCCGTAACTACGTTGCCCTTCCATAAAGAGCAGCTTGCCACCACGGCGGTGATTCAAAGCACACTGTAGCCACCGCGTTCCCCCATCTTGATACATCAGGCTGACATAGCTATTTCGTTAATCATTTATATTTAGTGACTTGCTTGTCATTCTCTCTATTCTGCACTCCTATCGTTCTTTAGTAGTTTTACTGCTGTAACTTGCTGACCCGCCCAATACTGGACATCTGCGAGAAAGAGCTTCATAGCCCATCGGATTTCCTCCAGTCTCGAAATAAATAAATAAATAGAAATATATTCTCATTCCGAATTCGATGTCGCGTGTTTGCAGATCATCTTTTTCGAGGGTGAGAATTTCCAGGGATTGCGCCTGGAGGCGTCGGGGGAGGTGGAGAGCTTCTTGGAGCGCAGGTTCACCGGCTGCGTTGGCTCGGCGCGCGTGGAGAGCGGCGCTTGGCTGTGCTTCGAGCATGCGCACCTTCAAGGGCAGCAGCTGGTGCTGGAGCACGGCGAGTACGCGCACCTTCGCAGCTGGGGCGACCGCTGCGAGGGGATTGGCTCGTGTCGGCCCGTGCGCATGGTACGTCTCGGCTTGCGCCGGGTGGCCGGCGAGGAGCCACCACCCACCCCCCCACCCACCCAATGTGCTGCGTCGCGCACCGCACTGGGTTATTCACGCTGGGTTATCAGAAGTATTATCTTTATACTGGAGGAATCCGATGAGCTATAGGGCTCATTTTCACACGTGCTAGCACGCCTGGGTGGATTATAATGAATGTGAACACTCATTACGTGGCTGTAAACGCCTAAATATATGTACTGCATAGGACCGCAGAGCTTTGGACATTTGTCGACGCCGCCTTATCGCAAGGCTGCCTTTCCAGATTGTCTGTGGTTCCTCCTCGCGCCTCCGAGTCGTTTTCTCTCTCTCTCGTTCTACAAGTTGAACTAAATCTTATTAAATAATATATACACATTGAGTGCCATCAAACCCTACTTTCGAACACGTGATTTCTGGAAGCATTCGTTTCACCAACCAACTGTGGGGTTTTCCTGCTTTAACAAACAAAAAACATTTGCTGGTATCATTGGCCCACACCCATTGATTGACTTTATTTCATCACCTTAGGTCATTACGTTCTCACAACACATTTTCTCTCACCACTTTATTTCTCTCTCTCTCTCTCGATATAGTCGCGTAGAGTTCCATATGCCATTCGCGGACAGCCAAAATATTGGATAGCACGTTCGCGAATAACGAGAGAATACACAGTATTGCTTATTTTCCGTGCAGTTTGGGGAGAACTTCTCCATTGAGCTGTTCGAGGGAGCGGACTTGACGGGGCAGTGTCTGGAGCTGAACGAGGACTGCCCCCTGTTGGTGCAGGTCCCCACGTGGGGCCGCCGTGCCGTGGCCTCGATCCGCGTGCGAGGAGACGGAGCGTGAGTCGTGCCCCCCACCACCACCACCACCACACCCGCGAGCCCCCCACATCGCCATGCTTAGAACGGGAGCATGCGTGCAGAGCCTGCACACAACACCAACTGAAAGCATTATGACACTCGGGATTTATCTTCTTTGGTTCTTTCGGTAAAGTCACCACGTAGAATGAGAATAAAATAATAAAATAACACGATAAACTTCTCACGACGTTTCGGCCACAACGCAAGCGGCCGAAGCGTCGTGAGAATTTTACTGTGTTATTTTATTATTTTATTCTCATTCTACGTGGTGACTTTACCGAAAGAACCAAAGAAGATGAAGCCTTGCAGTTCACGAAAGCTTTAAATCAAAACTCGGGATTTAGTTTTATGAGCTAAAACTGGCCGCAGAAATAGGAATGTGGCATCTTCACCGCTGGTTCTGGGATCACTAACGTAAGTTAATCCTTGCCCATGAGGACTGACTTCTTTTTGTATGCTCCATGGTACATCGCCTCTGTCACGCTGCTGCATGGCGATGCTGATCTCCTTCTCATGGCGCTCGATTTTCCTCCACGTGCCCTCCATGCCAGCCTCCAAGGCCTCTTGTCCACAACGATGTTGAACATTGTCAATGAAAAACAAAATTGTTGATTTGCAGTTTTAATTCTGTTATCTGTAATGTTGAAGGAAATGTCTTCCCATTGTTTTTTTTGTAATCCTTTTGCCCACAGATCAACAGGTAATAATAAGGGAAATATGTGGATGTGACTGGCCTAACCCCACAGATTAAAATACGAAAAAATAGGGCTGCAGATAAAATAAATGTAACTGTATTATTCTTGAGATAATTTGTATTTAGTTATCATTGCAGCTTCAGCTGCTACATTGTTTATTTCACCGTTTCAATAAGCGGTGTCCTTCAATGACAAACTGGTAAAGTGTGGCAGTATTAGAACGGCAGCCGTGAGAATGTGGGACGACTACGCGCGAGTCACCCTGTGGATGAACGAGCTCATGTGTTTTACCATCGACAACATTAATCCATAATTCAACACATTTACAGCGTTGTGTGGATCACCTGTCAGTGAAGAGAATGTCGAGTGAACAAAATGAATGGATCACTAGAGTACAAAAAAATGCAATATCTTTGTTATCAATTGGCAAGTGAAAGTTTATTGAGAAATTCAGTTTAACATGTACGCTTTCGCGACCAATATTATCCATAATAGAGGTTTTTAGGTTATAGCGCATAAATATAAATGTGTCGTTAAACCCGCCACCACCCGACACAGCCAATTAGTAAGGTTTGTCACATAAACAGAAACATGCCAATTCATTACTAGTACAGCACACCGGTGTGTTGGAGAGTGAACCCACGAATTGTTAATGTTGTGGGATTACTCTCCAACACACCGGTGTGCTGAACTAGTAACGAATTGGCATGTTTTGTTTCCGTGACAAACCTTACTAATTGGCTGTGTCGGGTGGTGGCGGGTTTAACGACACATCTATATTTACGCGATCTAACCCAAAAACCTCTATTATAGATCATTGCTAAATTGTTGTCCAGGAGAGCATTGTGCAAAATTGACAAATGTTATAAATGGGTTATGTGGGAAGTTTGGATTAATTTGTCAGTCTCTCCCATGCTACGCGACACAGGGCGCTTCTTTAGCCATTGCAAAACCACCGGCTGGAAGTTTTTTTTCCTCCTGATCGTCTTCTTCCACAGCACAGCCTGGGTGTGGCGCGCCTAGCCCGAGCTTGCCTTACGACACATTTATTGACGACACTTCGGTAACATCGAGTGCAACTGACGAGTAATCCCCGTGGGTATTGTTTTTTTTCCCCCCGGCAGCTGGGTACTGTATGATGACAGTAACTACCGCGGCAGGCAGTACCTGCTGGAACGGGGCGTGTACCGCTGCCCAGCTGCATGGAAAGCCTCCAGCGGGGCAGTGCTCTCACTGCGACGCGTCAACAACTACCTCTAGTAGCACACACGGATGCCCTCTGACCATAAAAGGCTCTTTACAACACACACTTAGGATAAACGCAAGTACATGGCATAAGTAAGTATCTAACTTTACTTCCACGACCTGGCCCGGGATGGTTGATTGGATTTGATGTCTGTTGGCCCAGTTTACTGTGGTAGACCGAGACAGACCTTATCCAAGGCACAAATTAGGTCACGGATATAGTCACAGTACGACATATATAACCATTTCAAGTTATCTCTGTTGGTAATTTCCATAACAGAGGTGCCTGGGTGCCTCATCATGCTATGCCTACGTCATCATAGAGCCAGCACCACATTTCAGCTTCCCACCCCATATAAAACTGTTCTAAAATGTGTTATCAAGTTGATAGTATCACTTTGGTCATCAGTGATTGCCACAAAAAAACTAATTATAATTATAATAATTTGATTGTACTTCATTTCCTCTGGCCCATCACCGGAAGTAAACGATGAACATATGTGAGATAACAGCTATGGGGCATACCACTCATCACCACCCCATTAGCACGATCTGGTGATCAGACTTATGTACAGTCGCAACTGTTTCAATGTGCTTCTTCTATGCTGATCCCCTGTGACCAGCAGCTTCCCCGCTTGCAGTTTATGGGACATTAACTTTGTAGCTTAAAGTAACACAATTGGGATATAGCAGAATTAATACTAAAAAAGCCTCTACATGCATACATTGTTATAACAATTCTGAAAAATGAATAGCTTCAATGTAATTTAGCAGCAATACCTGGTCAAAAAATATAGTAACACATAATTTCTGGAAGAGAGCTGTTATTTTTATTCTACAATGATAACCTCGCAAGCAAGACTGTAATCTCCACGATGAGCTGTATACATCATACCAATGTTTAACATGCATACTTCCCTAATGTTATTTTTGCACTGGAAATATGAGTCTGTTGCACGGGTTCTTAAGATCAAGCTCTCAGTTACTTATTGTACTAAAGTGGAAAATGTGGTGGACAGATTTACTTGGGTAAAATCCCATGAGACTAATTTGGTAAATTAGAGCACATTCCAACATTCACTTTTATATTTTCACAATCTATGGCACACACACTGATCATAGGTTGTTGGCCTCTAATTCCTTTAAGCCATTTTCCATCAATTTATCATCGGGCAAATATATGCACAGTGAACAATGGTCTAACATTTCGTTTTCGTTTAAATATCTATCATTGTGTGCTTTGTACAGCATTTCAAAAACTTGAAAATGTCTTCATATTACAATTCACACAAGCAGCGGTTACGCAATTGCCACACATCCTTATGCCGTGTGTCGCATCAAGGTCAAATGCAAGCACACGTGACCGGACTCGAGAACAATGACGGAACGAGTACATCCATGCTCTTCAGCGAGAGCTCGCGGCTGTCACGTCACGTGACTGACAGGCGTGCTACCTCACTCGTTTCGAACTCAACGATGCAGAATGATACTCAGGTCACCAAGTCCTTTTAACGCCTACAACTGGTTTTATTTTCCGACTTCTGATTACATCATCAGTATGACAATAAAAACATGTACTTGAATGAACTGAACAGTGTATGAGGTTTCGTTTTAAATGCTGTAGTGAATGCTATTGATGTACACTGTTTGGGTTATAGTTCAATACACCAACGATTTACACAAACTTTATTTCATGCTTAAAACCGAGGGTGAACATCTCTTTTTGCAAGATAAATTGTCTTTCTGCACAAATGAGTGTGGAACGGTGCCCATATCTGTTCGTAGTCATGGGCCACAATTATTCAATGAGCCCAGACTACATATTTCATGTTGGTTTCACCTGATGTATAAATTTTGAACTTTTGCACCGTACGTAGCCAACGGCGCTAATCGGAGGTGCTGTTTGCTAGATCGCTCGTTTTCCTCTGCTTTCCTCATAATCTGGAACTTCCTTACCCAAACCACCTCTGCTGTCACTTTCCTATTCAAGTCGAAGCTCAATATCTAATGTTTTCCTCTTTCTATGACTGACTGCCTTTGTCTACAAAACATAAATGCACACTGTTGCTGTGATGCCTCTTGAGATGTGATCACATGTGCAATGTAGCCCTCAGAGACACCGTCTTGTTCAGTTATATATAATGAATGAAATCCGCCAACTCACTGATAATTTAACGGGTAACCAACCGCGAGTTGACTATATACAGCTGGATAACTTCTGTGACTCTTACGCGACGCTCCCGATGTAGTTGGCTGACTACATCGGGAGCGGACGCGTAGCAGTCACGGAGACAATATTTAACTCTCGCCAACCAAGACTATAAAGTGCCCGATCCAAGATGATGAAGACGATTCCCCCACAGCAGCCCAGAGCCCTGCTCCACTTTAATCCCACTCCAGGACCCGACCACGCCCCTTTCCCCCAAACTCTCTCGCACCTCATCTGGGCCTGTCTGTTACGGTCTCAATGATTATTCACGACCACTTAGGTCCCGTGCTATCCTTAATACGTGACCCTGTCTGTTCCCGACGCGTCAATTATTAACCACGGCCACCAGGCCCCGTACTGTCCTTACACATGTCTGTAATATGTACATCCACATTGAATTATATTACAAATCAAATTATGTTTTTTTTAATCTGAAATTCGTTTTTGATGGTACAAAGTTACGAAATTGTATTTGCAAAAAACATAGCAACCATCACCCCCTCGAGCAAACACATGGCGAGATCTTCCAAAAAAGTCACATGAGACCCAGTACGTCTCTCCTGAGTAGGCAAGAATAAGAATTATAAATAGGTCGCAGAATCCGATGCCACGTTTAACAATAGATATGAATGGGCAGATGGAAAAGAGCGTGTGTGTGTGATATGTAAACATCTACACTCTGATGACAAAGCCGACCAGGCATGGGTGCTGGCCATACCACCTTCTTGTGAACAATGATGGCTTAAAAAGGTTCTGACCAACAGCACTTGTCCCAAAATTATAAAAGGCTAAACGGGGACCATTGTATTTGTGTGGAATACGTTGAGCAGTATTCGTGATTCTCTGATGACAGTGCGGAAATCAGTACCTGAAACTATCCGGCGCCTCGCCGATGTTGACTTGGCTAAATAAGAATACCTGTGTAAACATCTGCACTGGTGAGACAAAGGCGTGGTATTTCCATAGCCCCACCTCATATCCCGTGCTACCTTAGATTTGGAGAATTATTTGTTTACTGATTGTGTAAATGTGTGCCTATGTCTACGTGTGTGTAATTAAGTTCACGTGTGTTTGTTTGGGACCAGTTTTGTATTTAAAATTTCACATTTCACAATGGACGGTTGTGAATTTAAACACCAATTGTGGGTAAAATCAGCATTTCGTGTGTCTGAGGTTAACAAATTCAGTAGTCCTTTGTAGAAAGTCGCCAGTGCTTGTCCTGTGAAATGTATGGTGCCCACCATGAGAATGTGTAATTTCCACCACAGGGGTCAGGCCCATTAGCTGGAACAAGGCTTAAACTTTCACGTTGAGTTTTCAAAATGCATTTATATTAGAATAGTGACGAGTCCCAAAAACACACCAACCATACCCACCACATACTCTGTTATTTTTAAAAAAAACTTAAATCCCTTTAGGTGTTTTTATTTGACTGCACAAAGCCATGATGTGCAAGGTGTAGGCAATGTTGGTATTCTATTGTTGTAGAACGGAAGGCGCCACGCCACGAGATGTACATTACAATACAAACACACCTGTCCGATACAGTATGATGATAACACTTCAACTGCCTCATGTGTACACTTGCTTTTCTGTTCATCAAAGATTTGTAATATGACTTTGCACAGTATTTAACGTTTAAATGTAAACTACAGTATATGTAAACAGAGGAGTAGCATGTATAGTCTAAACTAGGAAACGTGCCCTGGGACGTCTGTATGGTTACAAGTACAAAAGTATTTAACTGAGATATGTTAAGGAGAAATACAGAAGTAAAATTAAGGGTACAAAGTAACGTAACTTTGTTTCCAGCAGGAGCAACGTTATTATTTAAAAAAAAGCTTGTATAAATATAGTGCAACATAACAATAACGGTTTCACAAATGAAAACAGCAATGATTTAAATTGGCATTAACATAGTCATCCCAAGGATAATACAGGGCAATATAAAGACAATACTGTTCATGTGAATATATTTAAAATGGCTATATTGTAAACATAACAGTTAAGCGATGGTGTTTTATATTAATTGTTGAGATTTTAAGCCTGCAAGTCCAAAACTATAACTTAGGCCACAATCTACGGGCAGTCCTCAGCTTACGAACTTTATTCATATCCTAGGACCCGTTCGTAAGTGGAAAGTTCATAAGTCGGAATACAAAAATGCACTGCATTTAAATGCCCATACGGTTGTGTTATGAAATGGTTTACGGTTCAACAAAAAGAGAAGCATTGTTAAACTCATCATTAAGAAAAAAAATATTACACATTTGCATCTAACACTGTAAAAAAAACTATTGTATAGTAAATAAAACATAAAACAAAGTAACATAAACACAATTTTTATTTTCACTTACATTGAGACCCGATGCTGAAGGGGGGGGGGGAGGTAAATGAGTCACCACAATTGTACACACACGGGAAACGCGCGCACGCAGACACACAGACACACAGAGGGGAGTACGCATACACAAAATACAAAGACACACAGACACCCCAACGATTGGGGCAAGTGCTGTTAGCGAGCAGGTGCCTATGAAGGCCGGCACAGGTACACGAGGGGGAGAGTGGCCAGCACCAGGCCTTTGTCTCTCCAGTGGCGATGTTTACACACCGTTTTGGGTACTCATTTGAGGCTGAGTCGACTTACGCAGGCTCAGGACCGGTTCACATAATCGTCACTGGCGTTGGCCGTGAGCAAGACTCAAAACTCGGGTCGCGGCTTAGCTCGCTAACCGCTACACTACCGCTCCACACAACAACAGCCATTCGCCACGAAGTGGTGGTGACGTCACCACGACGCTTGTACCAGGCTAGGTGCACGTTGAGGCCACGTGAAGTGTCGAACGCCCGCTGACAGGTCACGGGGCAGACCCTGTAGGTGCCACGGGTCGACGGAGATGACTGGCTGATGCATCACCTGTGCCCCCTACTGTGCCTACTTGCTGTGCTTTAGCCACCCGGCGCTCCGCTCGTTGTTGTGAGCGTCGCTCCTCCGCCCTCCGTTGTTGTTGGAGGGCGACTGCCTCCAACTGCCCAGTAGCGTTCTTCACGAGCCTCCTCCACAGAGGCCGATCTTGACACTGCTGGTACCAATCATTGGCAAGTCCACTCAGCTCCACATCCTCCTGTACCACATCACTCCATCTCTTCTCTAGCCCGTGCCACGCCCGTTTAGCCCCCTCGATCCGGCCGAACAAAAGCTGTTGCGGCATGCGGTGGCTGGGCATGCGGGCTACATGACCCAGCCAACGCAGCCTTGCCTGCTGGAGGTACTCACCGATGGGACTTTGTCCAGATCTTTCGAGGATTTGTGAGCTCCGTACGCAATCCAGCTTGGTTAAACCCAGGATTGATCGTAGGCAGGCCAGCCTAAATGTTTCTAACCGGCGAAGATGTTCCAATAGGGGGGTCCACGTTTTGCAAGCGTAGAGAAGGGAGGGAATGCCTGTGACCGAGAAGACCCGAAGCTTCGTGCGGAGCGACAGACCAGGTAGCTTCCACACAGCGTTACGCAACCGATGAAAAGATAATGCCGCTCGACTGATTCGGAGTGAGACCTCTGCTGTTAAACTGGAGCCGGTCATGAGCACACTGCCCAGGTATGGGAAACTCTCCACTCTCTCAACAACTGCCCCATCACCGATTGGGAGTTGTGGGGGTGGAGTGCCCGATGGTGCAAAATACCCAGGCAGGTGCTTCGTTTTGTTGGGGCTGATGGTAAGGCCCCACCTCTTCGTGGCACACTCCAGTTTCAGCAGCAGCGCCTCCAACTCCTCCTCTGAGTGAGCTGCAATTACCAGGTCGTCGGCATACATAACGTGGTTGACCTATAGGGAGCCATCCCTTGACTGCACCCGGGCATCGATCAGCCTCCAATTGTATATGTACCAGATGGAAATTCCTCCGATACAGCTACTGAAGGCTTCACGAACTACGTGGGCGAAATAGATGTAAAATAATGTGGGAGCCAGAGGACATCCCTATCGCACCCCAAGGTGTACAGGGAATGGCTCTGCCTCCCGGCCACGTAGTTTTACTCGGGCCTGCTCACCATCATGAAGGTCCTTAATGAGCGTGAGCAGAGGGTCAGGGACTCCGAAAGCACGAAGAACAACCCAGAGCCCAGGCCTACTGATGGTATCATAGGCCTTGACCAGGTCAATGAAGCAGATATGTAGGTCTTGTTGGATTTCCCTACACCTCTGCTGTAGCAGACGGACAGAAAATATGGCATCTGTGCAGGACCGCCCTTTCCTGAAACCGCATTAGGGCTCCGCAAGCCTCTCCTCAGCGTGCCTAGCAAGGCGATGTTGAATAATCGTTGCCAGGACCTTTCCCGGCACACTGAGGAGTGAGATGCCCCTGTAGTTGTTACAGTCTGTGCGGTCCCCCTTCTAAAAGAGGGGGATCACCAGGGCATCCTTCCAATCCTGCGGAACCCGTCCAGTGGCCCAGACTGTTGTTATGATGTCATGTAGGGCAGTCTGTGCACAAACGCCACCCTCCCGCAGCATTTCGCTTGGGAGATCATCTCTGCCCAGTGCCTTTCCTGGTCTCAGATTCTGCATCGCCTTCAGTACTTCCTCAACGGATGGCACCTTAGCCAGCCACTCACATGGGGTGACTTCCTCCTGCAATATTTGAGGCACCGCAGCCTCAGCAGGGTCATCCCCACTTTGTCCCATGATGTTTTCCAGGCTGAGGGATTCCCCCTCCCCCAGGACCTCACAGAAATGCTCAGCAAATCTGCAAACCTGTTCCTGGGGGTCAGAGATTGGATCACCATTCTTTCCCCTAATGATGGTAATAGGTGTGGTGCTGCAGGTTACTTTTTTGATGGAGTTAAATAGGGATTTGTGATCGCGGGCCATTGAGGCAGACTCCATCTCCTCAGCAACCCGCGACCACCACCCATCCTTGCAGCGCCTGACCGCTCTCTGAACCTCCGAGCGAAGGCTGCGGTAAGCCTCCTCATTCTCCGACGTGGGATGCTGTAGACGATGAGAGTGGGCCTGTCTCTTTTTCTCAACCATCCTGAACACCTCCTCTGTCAGCCAGGGTCTCTGGGGAGGTCTGGACCACGTACCCAAAGCAGCCATTGCAGCTGCATGAGTCACAGTCTTAAACCTCGCCCATTTACCCTCGACATCAGGAGTGGGGGACGATGCCAACCCCAGCTGCAAGCGATGATGAAATTCTCGCTTGCAACTTTCATCAGCTAGCTGAGACCAGGCCACCTTAGGTTGGAATGGGGTCCTTGGTGTATACCCACCATCGGAGTGGAAGAATGGCAGGCGCATCTTATAGATGACAAGTCGGTGGTCAGAGGGCAGATCAGCTCCACGGTAGGTCCTGGTGTCAAGGACATGGGCTCGCATCCGCTGGTCCGTCACTATGTAGTCCAGCAGATGTTCTTGCTTGGACCCGGCATGCATTCATGATGTTGTGTGGATGCGCCGATGCTGGAACAGCGTGTTGGTAATTACAAGCCCATGGGCTGCACAAAAATCTAGTAGCCTCCTATCGTTGTTATTGAGCTGATCCGGCCCATGCCTTCCAATCACTCCAGACCAGGTGCCAGCATCATGACCAACTCGGGCATTGAAGTCACCCAACAAGGTGACTCTATCCCGAGGGGCCACTTTAGCCAGCACCTGTGACAGGTCATAGAAGGCATCTGACTCATCGGCCTTGCCTGCATCCCTCCACGGATGTTCGTCTTCGGTGGGGGCAAAAGTAACCACGACCACCACTCCTCGCCTCCGATTGATGGGAAGACGAGCCCAAAGTAGCCTGGGGCTTACAGCTTCCCACACCTCACCATCACGCTCCCACATCCCCTTCATTCTTTTTGCCACACGCGCACACACACAAGCACTCACTTGCAGCATGAAGCTGACTCATTATATCATGCGGAGGACCGCTCCTCTGGACAAAAGAGTTCCACGGTTCAGTTTTCAAGTGCAAGTTCGCGTTTGAAGTCAATGTCATTTTTTTATTTCATGGAAACTGGTTTGTAAGTATGAGTGTTCGTAAGTCGGGTGTTCGTAAGTTGAGGACTGCACGCACATTGTATTCTACTCTTGTATATGGCACTATGTTCAGGAGTTAAATGGCAGTGTTGAGGTCTGCTAGTCACGAGAGGGCTTCGGGAGTTCGTTCGTGTAGATTTGCTATTCCTCCATTGAAGGAGGGTCGACTAAGGTGGTCCACCACATGGTCCATAGTTTGGGTTGCATGGCTATAGTAGCACTGTGGCTTGTCTCTAATTTTCTTTTATGCAGATGTGCGTAATTGGCCTGTTGATGTTCTGATGTGGTTTATGGCTACACCAGTGTCTTCGAGAAATGTCAAAGCCAGGAGGTGTGATGTTTGGGTGTGAATAAGGTGTTTATTCTGGATGCCCGCGTTGTTCCACTGTGTTCGCCAGCATTCCTCTGGATCTGGGTGAGATTCTACGAAAGTAACAGCGCAATCCAAACTACATAACTCCAATGTACACTTCATGATAATGTGAAACACTTCATATGCGCTCTTGTATAAGTCGCCGTATGCTATTGAACCAGCATAAAATACGATACGTAAACAGTTTGAGTCTGTTCATTGAAAATGAACAAACATATAGTTGTGAGTCACAGCACCTGGCCTGGCTTTGTTTCATGAAACCAGACTCTATAGCCTGAAGTCAAGTTTGGTCGGACCCCCGCGGTATATATTTCTTAAAGACGGGGACCAGGTGATTGGGTGACAAGAACACGATCAGCATCCGCGTATACAGAGATGCTCCTGCATAGCAAAACTCGATAGGGTATTTATGTACCTATTTAAAAAAATCTAAAGGGTCTACAAATATGAAATGTTGTAGACCTACACACACAGTTTAATATCTGAAAAAGTTAATGTTAACTTAAGCTACAGTCAAGTGTTCAGTATAACATACATTATTGGTTTAATTCTAGATTTGAAGCTTTCGTGACTGCAAGGATTCATACTCTTTGTTTTTTTCGGTATAGTCACGTAGGTGTAAAAAAAAGATTTAATTGAGTTTTCATTTTTTTTAACCTACGTGACTTTACCTAAAAAAAAACGACGAGTATTAGTGGTTTACTTATTTGGCACGAGGCGCGCGCAGGGTTCGGTCTGGTGGCCCCAGGCCATGGGCGCTGGGTCCTCCAAGCCGCGTGGCGGCAGCAAGCGGGTGGTGCGCGACCGCATGTGGGAGGCGCACAAGGGTGGCGTTTGCTGCGCCAGCGTGAGCGACGACGGCGAGCTGTTGCTGACGGGCGGCGAGGATGCGCGCGCCGCACTGTGGAGCACGCGCACCCTCGCTGCGCTCGCCGTGCTCGAGGGCCACGAGGCGTACGTGACGGACTGCGCGCTCGCGCCCGACACCTCCCGCGCCTTCACGTGCAGCGCCGACTTCGCCGTGCGCGTGTGGCAGATCGATGGCGGCGGCGGCGGAGCGCTGAGCGTTAGCTGCGCCCACGTCCTGCACGGCCACACGGCCCGCGTGAACCGCTTGCTGGTGCACGCGGGACGCTCGGTCTACAGCACGTCTGCCGACCGCACGGTGCGCCGCTGGGACGCGGCGGACGGAAGCTGTCTCGCCGTCTGCGAGGGTCACACGGGCAACGTGCTGCCCCTGGCGCTCTACCTGCCGGAGGGCGGCCCGGACAACGCCGACGAGGTGCCCGGACAGGCGGTGCTGGCGGCTGGCAGCATGGACGGCACGGTGCGGCTGTGGGACGAGACTGGCACGGCGCTGCACTGCCTCGAGGGACACGCTGGCCCCGTTCTGTGCCTCGCTGTGCTGCAAAACCGAGCCGCCCTCTTCTCGGGCAGCGCGGATGGCACGGTGCGCCGCTGGGACGTGCTCACGGGGGAGGCCGTGTCTGAGTTCATTGAAAATCTGGGCAGCGTCATCTGCATGCAGGTGCGCAGATCATGGCATGGGCGCAGCACGTTGTGTTTTTTTTTTATAAATGTATAATTGGGAGGCCTACCTGAGAACCGTTATCCTTTCGAGCTGAACAGAGAAATATATATATGAATTGCGGCGATGCCAAATCTCTGCTGTGGGACCTCAGTTCTGTTCCACTGGCCCTGTTCGTCCCATGGCTTCATCTCGCACGTGGACGTCCTGCAGGTGGCAGGGCGTTACCTGTATGCAGGTGGCAAGGATGGCATCGCGCGGCGCTGGGAAACGCGATCGCAGATCTGCGCACGCAGCTATCAGGCGCACACGCGCGCCGTGAGTGCGCTCGTGGTTCATCGCAATGTCCGTAAGTGTCGCTCGTTACAATTCCACAAATATACGGGGCACCCGGGGCCTGCAACGTAACTTCGAAGTGGAACTTGTGAATGTGCTCAGAATGGAATTGACTCACAGGCGTTTCGTGTGGGTGTGCAGTGTTCACAGGGAGTGGAGATGGGAGCGCCTGCTCCTACAACGCTCAAACAGGGGAGGTCATGAGGACCTTCAAGGGCCATAACCACATTGTCAACTGCATGAAGGTGAATTCCAGTGCTGTATTGTGAGTAGGTACATTTAATTTGTATACGTACTGTACTGTTTACATAGTTATTATCGTGTATTTATGTATATATTATTAGGTAATCTTGATTTGAAGCTTTCGTGACTGCAGGAATCCATACCCTTTGGTTATTTCGCTAAAGTCACGTAGGTATAAAATAAAATAAATCACGACGTTTCGGGCGCAACACCCAAGCGTCCGTCATCAGGTGAGAAAGCATGGTCTGCTGCTGAGGCAGACTGTTTTAAAAGGTTTGAAATGGGTGTAGCCCAAGGGTCATAAAGAAGTGGCCGGGGCTAGTGATGTTAATGTGAGAAATTTTGCATAATGTTAATGTGAGAAATTAGCATGTAACTGTAAGATCGGAGAGCGGCCTCCTCGATGAGGACATGGAAGTGGCTATGTTACTGGTAGGAAACGTAGTGGACTGGAAGCCCAACCGGGATTAATTCACAGGAGGCAGGGGATTATAACACTGCACTTTCTGGTGCGACCTCTTTTACACTGCACTTTCTGGCGTCGTTTTATAATTCTGCTCACTTTTCATTTTGCTTTCTTTTGCGCACGACCCTAACAGGTTTGGCTTAAATATCTGTACATAATGACTTCATAATTACTTCAAAATTTCCTACCAGCCCCCTCCGCAGGAATGTGTTAATGTGAGAGATTAGTATGTTCATGTAAGATCAAAGAGTGGTGCAATCTAAAGGCATGAGAGTGCAATCCAAAGGACATGTGAGCATAAGAGGTCTAAGAGAGAGGCATAGAGAGAGAGAAACACACACATAGAGTCGGAAATAACAGCTGAAATAGGCAGGTAGGATGGTAAGTTAACCTTTAAAGTCATAATTAAATCAACAGATTTTTGGGTACGTTTTTAACAATTTTTAAAAGTGGTGTATGGCACTTGTTTTGTGAGCAACCAAAATACTAGGGATACTATACAAGGCATATTAATTAATGGGCAATATTTAGTAAATAACTCACCTGGCCTTAGTGTACAAACCAATTCTCTGACGGCCACTGACCCGTGTAGAGGAAGGGGAGCTCAATCGGGTTGGTAGGTGTGGGAGTTGAGTAGGCATACCTGTCAATCCATACGGTTTACCCGTATTCTTGGAAAGGGAAATTGAATTTGCAGGTCGATACGGCATACAGCCGTTTAAATCCGGGCAATTTTTAAAAAATATTTGTTTCTATTTCTCTCTTGTGATGGGGCTTTGTAGGATGAACGTTGAGCTTTATTAGGGCACGGGGTGATCAATAAGGTCTGAATTTGGTCTGTCTTAAGGTAAGGCACTGATAAGCGTAGACCTTGACTTAAAGCTTTCGTGACTGCAGGAATTCATATTCTTTGGGTCTTTCGTTAAAGCCACGTAGAAAAAAATAACAATATGGTGATAAAATAACAATATGGTGATATTAGAATTAAATTTTTATTTTTTTAAATTTTCTTTCTCTCTACGTGGCTTTACCGAAAGACCCAAAGAACACTGATACGCGGTTGACAGGCTACCCTGCGTGAGCTGTTAGTGTTACTGATGGACCACGCCGAGGGTTGTACCAACACGCAGCGTCCTCTCCAAAGAAAAAAACATAGGTAAAAAACCACACACACACAAGCCTTTTAAATGCACACACTTGTATGTGCACTCAAAAGTATAAAATGCATTATTTTGACCCCGGAATTAATCAAATTTGATGTGCTCAATAAAAGTGGGTGGCTTGCATAAAGAATATGTAACATTTCGAAAGGAAGCCACCCACTTTTATTGAGCGCATCACATTTGATTTATTCCGGGATTAAAGTAATTTACTTCTACTTTTGACTGCAAATAAAAGTGTGTGCATTGAAAAGCTTGTGTTTTTTATTTATTAATTACCTATAGTTTTTTGTGTACTTGCTGCTTCTAGCGCTAAGGAAGAGAGGGGGGGGGGGCACAGCGGCCACTCGTTAGCGTTACGACGACGGGCGGCGATGTGATCAGAGGCTGCCCAGCAACAGCTGCTACAATTCGTAATTAAAAAAGGGGGGGTGTACAATGTACGATTAATTATTAATGATTAAAATGTATTCAAAAACACGAATAAGACCACGATCGGCGGCGGTACCTGGACCGGTTATTTAAAAAGAAAAATGAAATCTTGAATTGTCACGCCAGGTGAATCTGTGCAGAAAATTTCAGCTCGTTAAGACTTTCGTAGATCCGAAAATATGAAGCGTCAAAGATAAAAAAAAGGATATAAACAGACAGCACGAAAAGTTCAATAAAAATGTGTAGTAGTAATAATAAGAATTAAAGGGCCGTGCACAGACCCTGGAGGGAAGCTGTTGTGCCGACCCACCGCACGTTCGTTTTTACGCGAGGATTTTTCAGCCCCCCCCCCCCCCCACCAAGAGTCACAATTGTAAGTAGTGACTCACCCAACTAATACGAAGTGTAGCTTCGCACGTGAAGTTGATTCGCTCAAGGTCAACATTGGTGGCCCATCTGTTTTGTAACAAATCAATATGCGGAACTCACGGTGACACTTATAATCCATGATTCAAAGTCCCTGTAACTTGTTGCATGCGATACAGGTGCAGTGTGAGATGTTTCTGGGGGTATTTTGTGAAGTGTATGAGGGGAATGCCTAGTTCCAGCGAACCTCATTGAACTGGATGTTTGTTGACTAAGCGTCATGGTTGATATTAATACGCGCAACAATGTCTATAGACGCGTAGGGAATGCCTGCATGTGATGCTCAATGAGTACCCACAGCATTTTAATACTTAGGATATAGAACTACCGGTTTTTTCCAATCGTGGAATTTTCATTTCACACGGAAACTTTTAAACTTCACACACACACATTGACATATTTTTCCTTTTGTCTTCTAAACACAATTTTATTGGAGGGTACTTACCCGTGAAGAAAAATCTGTAAAGTGGGACTCAAGATAAATATGAGCAAATAAACGTTCATAATCGAATATTTAATGTTGTGAATTAAGCTCCACAATAAGGCAAATTGAGGTAATCGCCGCCAAGCTTTGCACAGCCACTAAAATGTAGTAATCTGTCTACTGTGTGGTGTGTGGATGTGCCTGGTTCTGTGTGATTCAGGTAGCAGGGGACACACTCTTCACAGGATCGCAAGATGGAAGCATGCGGGCATGGAGTCTGCAACGGGTTTTTGCAGATGCACAGGACAAGCAAGCTGATCAAAATAACGACGTGGCAGATCAGTCGGAGAATAACCCAGATGAAGGGAAGGTTGTGGATGAGGTGAACGAGTTAAAGGAAGATGGAGAGAATGCAGAAAACGTGTCAGGCGACGTGGCAGATAAGTCGGAGCGTACACCGGAAGAAAAGGATGCAGATGAGGTGAATGAGTCAAAGGAAGACAACACCAATAATTAATCAGACAGACGAAAGCAAGGAAGGATGAGGCTAATTCAGGAGCAGACCTTAAGACGAGATGCAGGCAGTCGTATGGTGAAGCTCATACTCTTATATAAGCACGCAACTTTATCTGTGATGAACGCTATCACTTTCCGTCGTTTTCACGCAGGGGGCGCTGCAAATCTACGCGCCCCCTGCATGAACGACGGAGGCGCAGGGACAGACGATCGATCACGTCGGTATCGATCTGCAGACGGCGGTCTTCTCGCACGGCCAGCAGCTCCACGTCGCCTTATCTCGATCCCGCAATCCCAAACAGGTGAAAGTCCGCATCGAACCGAACCAACCGGCAAGGCCATCTACTTAACGACGAGAGAAAATTCACACGAAATGTCGTTTTCATTGAAGTCTTCCAGATGTAAAATGATATAAGCTTTTATATCATCAGCTTCAAAACGGAGCATCGTCTGCTTGCGTGAATGCATCGTTCGTGTGCATTTTTTTTGTGACTTTCCTGACCGAAGGCCGTAAATGGTTGTGAGGGGGCCCCTGGTTGATAAATACTTGAAAATGTCGATTGTGCGTGCGTTTATGGCAACGGTAACGTCCAACTAGATAAAAAAAAAAACGCCAAACAAACTTCAAGGAATACTTTAATATGCCTGATGTTCCTGTCCATCTGATTTGATATAGATTAATATAACGCCTTATGCCAAGGCGCGTTACAGCAATTATACAATTGTACATAAGATGGCAGTGGTTGAGATAGAGAGTGGGATTATTAAAAGTGGTGGTGTAGTTATGGTGAACAACAGGACAGGTGGGATTGGTTAAGGAGGGGTAATGATAGGGTTAGGGGTCGTGGTAGTGATAGGGGTAAGTGGTGGGGTCGTGATGGGGGTAGCCCTGGCTGTAGCTGGGCGGCGGGGGCAGGGAGGAGCAGGAGGTTGTGCTATGGAGAAGAGATGTTCACAGGTGCTTCGAGGCACAAGTAACACAATGCACCCACGATATTGAGAGTGTGAACAAGTGACAAGGACACAAAGCAGGACCTGGAAGAGAATTTTGCACGTAAAGCTCACCATGCGAAAATGCAAACCCATCACGATCCTGAGATTTGACAGCCTGGTGGATTAAGCTACCTTGAGATTATTCTCGGGTCCATTTAAACCAGCCAGCTGCGCTGACCCAATATTTGCCCTTATAATCATTAATCATTACAGTTCACATTAGGGGGATAACATAGGTTAGCTTGGGCTGCAATACCATACTGTTATAATTCATACTAGTATAATCAATACTGTTACCATGAATAAATCAGGTAGAGCTCAATATATTATAATTATACTCTTAGTCTTGTACACACATCGTGGCATTATCTAATCACGGCCGTGACATTATGGGGGCGCCGCGTCCCACACCTCAGCTCCACGATGACGTCTCAGGCTTGAGGAGGCAGATGTGGGCAGAGGGCGCAAGCTCTGGGTATTAATAACACTTTTGTGGGAGTTATTGTTGTAAGGCTTCATCGGGTGGCTTAAGTTTCTTTCCTTCGAGCTGAGTATCCATGATCAAGGTGCGGCAATATCAATAAACATTTATTACAGCCAAACCTTGCGCTGGCTGCTTCTGTTATTGTGTTGAATTCATGCGAGTGTGGTTTTGGTGTGGCCTATATTACCCTCATGGGCAGCAGAAGGTATGCTGCAAAGGTAAGAGCAGTCAATCAATCTTTACTTGAGTGCTTCTCTAATTTTTTGTGAATTAAATATCACATTTGAGATCCGCAGCGATAACCTTCCCTGAAAGCGCCATTGTAGGCGCTGCTTTGGAAGTGGGATAACCCCGACGCGTGCGCACCTCGGCACTCAATCGTTGAGGAAAAGTGATCTACGACTGGATGACCGTGGTACATTGTGAAGGAATGGGCACCATGTATAGCCACAACCATTCAGGGACATTTCCCACCAAGCACAGAAGCTGCGCCCATCGTATGCCTCGTGGGACCTCCCCGTTAACCCTGGGTCTGGGAAAGTGACATTGAGGCAATAAAAATGCGTTTCCCTCGAGTTAACTTTTTCTTTATTTACAGTGATACTCAGGGCCATAACCAGGTCCTCTCAGATGACGAGACCAGTTGAGCTGTTGTGTGGGCCCCCATAACAAGGATATAATCGCTCAGGAGCGTGAACTCGGGTGGGCCAAAGTGACATTTGGTGGTTCCAGGGCCCCTGCTCATCACCGCCCTAACGTCGGTCCTGGTGACACTCTTACCCTCCTATTATCTCACCTTCCAATTGTCTCTAGTTGTGAATTGATCTATTTGCGCGAAGAATCATCCGACCATCGAAGCCCTTACTCAGATTACAGGAGTATGGCTGAAGTTGGGGTCGATGGAGCTGGAGCGAAGCTGGAACTGGGTTCGCTAGATCAGTCAGGAGCCGGAGCTGAAGTTCCAGAGCAGCTCCACTCTTTCCTGCCTCCATTGCGATTTTTAAAAAATAAAAACCTAACTTCTTACACGAATACATGGTGTATAAACTTCAATCTCGGTGCACACCTGTATAATCTATTGCTTTGGGGTAACGATCGGTGGGATCAGGAAAAGATTCGTTAAATTAAAACCTGCTGTGCTGCGACGTGGCCAGGAGATGGCAGTAGAGTAAGTAGGCTTGTGGCTCTCGGAGTGACGTACAGTATATATTTCTATTTTTTAAAAGATGAATAGTGATAATCCCATGGAAAGACTGGCCCTGTCAACGAATTATTTAATTTCCTTGCATATCTGTCCAAACAAACGCACACGGCGATCATTGAGACCCAGGGTTTAATGGTTAAGTTACACCAAACCATTTGCATAATTTTGAACAACAGCATCCACTTAATGCAATTCTTCATCTGGAATCATTGACAGAAACTTTTTCGCAATTTTTTAACCCCACCCACTTTGATAAAAAAAAATGTGTTGCTAATGCAGCATGAGGAGTGGCTATATCGGCTCTTTTTATGTGGGAATATTTTTTTATGAATGGCAAATGGCGGAGTAGGGTGAATTTTCTGCAACGATGGCCATCATTCTGCCAACAAGAGGCAGAATGATGAGCATCACTGATGCTTTCCAACTTGAGCCTGACAAATAACTAATCATTATTTAACATTTATACCCCTCCTCCCATGTAGCATATGGTGAAGCGCCAACTAAGGAAATGTTTTAATATTAAGCTCATATATCCAATGCAAATATATATTTACTTAATTAAATTTTACTCTTACCAAATTCGTCACGGAAACTTCACAGTGAATTCTCGCCATTGATATTAGCCGTGCATAGGAATCGAACTCTGAAAATGTAGTTTATAGCACAGCGCACTACTCACTGCACCATCACTCCACCCATGTGCAAATATACAGTGTATATATAACGTTAGTTTAACACATAGGTTTTCGCGACCAATATTATCCAGAAAAAACTTATATTGGGTTAGATTGCGTAAATATAAATGTCATTAAACCCGCCACCACCCGACACAGACAATTAGTAAAGATTTGTCACGTAAACAAAACATGCCAATTCGTTACTAGTACAGCACACCGGTGTGTTGGAGAGTAAAGCCACTACCTTTACAATTCGAGTACGACGTTTCATCAGTAATTACAATTACCATCATCAGGCGGACAGCCAGAGATGTGGAGAAATCGTCCTGCTTCGGTCTTAAATAGAGGGATGAATGTTGCGTCGTCACTTGGGAGCCAAGTAACGACATACATTACAATGACTATCCATTACTGTAATGGATATCCCTCTATTTAACACCTAAACAGGAGGATTTCTCCACAACTCTGGTTGTCCGCCTGATGATGGTAATTGTAATTACTGACGAAACGTCGTACTCGAATTGTGAATGTTATGGGTTTACTCTCCAACACACCGGGGTGCTGAAACTAACAACAAATTGGCATGTTTTCTTTACGTGACAAACCTTACTAATTGGCTGTGTGGGGTGGTGGCGGGTTTAACGACACATTTGTATTTAGGTGATCTAACCCCAAACAAACCTCTGTTATGGATATGTATAAAGTTGTGTGGCAGTTTACGTGTGTTTGCGATTCCCTGCTAGATCTGTTTTGCAAAAAAAATTACAACAAAATACTTCCATAAAATTTACAAAGACCAACAACATCACCAACGATAATGGAACATTTTGTCTGGCGTTTTCAATCCCAAGTTTGCGAATGAAATGCTGTTTGCACCCAAGTAAAAGGCAAAACACGTCTCATCAATGCTTCATACACACTTTTTGTCAAGCGTGGACCCGAATTAATATAGTACATCTCAGCGTTAATGGGTGATGTGGCTCTGATTTTGTCTGGCTACAAACATGGGTATTTGAGCAAATGTAATCAATGCAGCCTCCTTGCTTGCTTGGAGAACTGTTTGGGTAATAGCAGCACTTGTGCATTCTATGTTGCCTTCACATTATAATAATTATCAGTACACATCCATTGCAGTTTCTGGCAATTGGAAAACCCGCGGTAAAATGTATCGCGCTCCCAGACCAGAGCCAGGAGCAGCTACTGGTACAAGTAAAATGTGTACATTATGACCAATAACCATGGAAGGCTTGAGGGCAGGGGTCCTCCTCCACCCATGGGAACAGAAACGTTCTTTAAAGTTGTTTCCTTCTGATGGAAAAGCTGCTCTTTACTGCTGGTCTGGGCCATTTGTAATATCGTATACAACTGATATACAAATGTACGTTGTGGTCTGAGTTATTTGGTGGCTGTTTATTTGGAGCAAAAAGGGATGTTTGAAACAAAAGTGCAAGAAAGCTGTGTTTGTAGGATAACGTTTCAAAAGGCTCGTGACACGGGGTCAATAAGAATACGGTTAGTCACGAGCAGAGCTGTCTCCAGCACTGTGAGATGCATTGCCTGTAAGAGGGTTTTTAGGAACGTATAATTCAACACTATAAATATTGCTCGGTGGCTTACATACACAAACGATTGTTTACAGTGCTAGTATACTTGAATGGTATATTATCTACAGAAAAGTGCATTGCAGAGTTCTGAGCAGACCTTCCTGTGTTGGCTATAGCCCATTTGATTTAAAGTTGCTGTGATTTTTACTATGAGTTTAGATTTTTTACAGCACGTTTATTAACACCATTAACAAAGCTCCAACCAGTCGGGTTTCTGCTTTCTGTCTGCAAAAACGCATGCACATTTCCCCTTCTCATTCACAGTT